TTGAGCAGCTATGAAAACATATGCCCCAGAAGCCTACACTTGCCATAGCTGAGGGCCGAATGTCATGGGGGTTTTGTAAGTGACCCCTAATATTTTTGTTTTGCGTGTGTGTGTGGGATCGGGGTGTTGTTTAATGTGATGTTTGGTCTGTATTGGTGCTCCTTTGTGTGGCTGGTCATTAATGTGTTTGTGGATTTACTAGGAGCAACCTTGAGTCTGTTCAGTGTAAGCCATTGTGATAAATTGTTGCGTTATGTTTGGCTTGTTGAGTACATATGTCTGCGGATGGGTGAGTGGATGTTATTGTGATGCTGTCTGCGTAGGAGGCAATGTGGATGTTTGGAGGTGGTTTGGGTATGTTGGCATGTATAGATTGCAGAGTGAGGGTGATAGGACAGAGCCCCATGGGACTCCGTTGGGTATGAGTGAGGTGTGTGATGACTTGCCTAAGTAGTGTACCGTACATATGCTTGTCTGCCTGATGGGTAATTGGCAAGCCAGCGTATGTTGTTGTTGTGTAGTGTGGTGTTGTAAATTTTGTTTGTGAGAGGGAGGCGAGGGATGGCATCAAAGGCTCTACTGATGTCTATTGTAAGCAGTAGTGTTCTGTATGCGGGTTTGCGGGAGTTGATGCCATCGTTTATGCTTTGTGTGAGGTTTGTGAGTAGTGTTGTGGTCGAGTGGTGAGGTCTGAATCCTTGTTGTGTTGAGAAAGTGTAATGTGCAGAGTGGCTGTGTTCAGTATGAGGCACTCTATGACTTTTGATGGTGTGCAGAGGAGTGTGATTGGTCTGTATGAGGCAGCCTCAGTGGGTGGTTTGTTGGGTTTGAGGAGTGTGATTATTTTGCCAATTTTCCAGATGTATGGTATTTTGGAGTGTGAGTAGGAAAAGTTGGCAATGTTTGTAAGTGTCATGATTCCGTGTGGGCCAAGGTGTTTAGGGTGTTTGTTTGTAATGTTGTCGGGCCCAGCAGCGGAAGAGTTTTTAATTTGTTTATGACCCTTTTGGTGTCATTTGTAGTGGCTAGGGTAGCTGTTGGGTCTAGTGGAAATTGTTGTTTGCATCTGATGATGTGTCTGTCTTCTTTTTATTTGGGTAACCTACTTATGTTTGCGTAGTGTTGTATTAGTATGTTTGCTTGTGCTTGTCTGGTGGGGATGTTATCTGAGTTGGTGATGATTGCTGCATGGGTGTGTTCTTGTTTGCTGTTTGAGTTGTGTAAGCTGCGTGTTGTTCTGTAAAGAAGATGTGTGATGTTGGATTTGTGGTCCAGTGTATCCAGGAACTCAAGCCAAGCCTGTTGCTGTTGCTCTGTGATTTTTTTATGAATTTATGTGTTTAGTTCCTGGATTTCTTAAGTAGTGATTGGTGAGTGAGGGGTGGGTGTTTGTCTGAGATTGTTGCATTGATGGATAAGGCTGGCTATCTCAGGTGTGAAGTTAGGGTTGTGTTGTTTTTTGTTGCCCTTTGGTATGTGTTTCTTGTCAGCCTCTTGGATGATTTTGTTAAATTGGGCAACAGTGTGGTCAATGTTTGTGATTGGGAGGAGGTTCAGGTGTTCAAATTTTTCTTCTGTCTCATGTTTGAATTCCTCCCAGTGTTCATGTTTGAAGTTGTTGTGTGTTTTGCATGGTTGTGTGTTATTTGTTTTGGATTGTGTTTTGATGATGATGGGTAGGTGGTCTGAACTTGTGTCTGTTACTCTATTCCATTTAGTTGTGTTTGCTAGGTTTGGAGAGCAGAATGTTATGTCTGGGGATGTGGCTTGTCTGTCTGCTTGGTATGGGTTGTGTGTTGCTCTGTGTCATTGAGGATATAGAGTGTATTAAGTTGTGTGGCTAAGTTTGTTCCTCTGTCATCTGCTTGTTGGTTGTTGTACCATCCTGGGTGCTTGGCGTTGAAGTTGCTGCCAGGATGATGTTTTATGTATCCAGGGCCTGTAGTGAGAATTGATAGTTAGCAGGTAATCCTGGAGAGTTGTGTGGGGGAATGTAGGTGTTTATGAGTGTAATGTTGGTGTTGTGGCCTGTCTGTACTCTAAGTGATTGAAGTTCAAGGTGTTGGTTGGTCTGCGTTTATGTCTCTGCGTGTCTGTTGTGTGGTGTCGATGTATGACTCTGTCTTGTTGCATTGTGGAGTAGGGCAGGATGTTGGGTGTTTTATGTCTGTGTTGTAGTTTTGTTTCTTGTATTAGTGCTATGTGTATGTTGTGCTTGTGCATTAGGTGTTTGTGCTCTTGGTGCTTGGTGCGGATGCCATCTATGTTAAGTTGCAGGATATTGAGAGCCCTGGTGTTTCTGTTGTTTTTGTGTTGTGGACGGTGTTGGGGAGGAGGTGGTGGTGGTGGTCGTGGCAGTGATGGTGGTAGTGGTGGTGGTGGTGGCTGTGGGGGCAGTGTGGGTTGCTGTGGTGGTGATGGGGGTGGTGGTGGTGTCGAGTGTGGGGTTGACTGGGATAGGGGATGTGCTTGTGGTGTATGGGTTTGTGATGAGTTAGTGTTTGTGGTGTTGTTTGTGGGTAGGCAAGTGGTGCATTTAAAGTCGTTTTTGTAGTGAGTAAGTGAAGGGAGTGCAGTGCACCGGAGGTGGACCCACTCGCTGCAGGAGTTGCAACAAACGGAGCCACCCCTGCGTATGATGCGTCTAGTGCAGGTGGGGCAGATGTAGATGGGTCCTGGACTGTGGACTCATATGAAGAGGCCTTTCAATTTTGAACAAAATATTTCATGGTTTAATTCTTGGTGTGCATCAAATCTATTTATTTCAAAATCAAGTTTGACGTTACTCAAACAATCTTCACCTATTCACTGTCATTAAAATATTCCACATGCCATAGACGAATTTGTGATTATCTCATCATTTTGTATGGCATTCAAATTTTTGTTGGTGGGTATTAAAATTTTTACTTTTCTGCAAAAGTTGACATAATTTTTTTTATGTATGAACACCCTCATTGTAAGAATTATTCAGTTAAAGATAAACAACTAGTGAACAGCATCAAGAAAGGTGTCATGGCATGGAGACTGACATGCTGTGCCCGTCGGTAAATTGGGAGATGTCTAAATAACTTGGTATTCATTTTTGCACTATGGCGGGAGGTGTAATGCAGTAGGCCAGTGGTTCCTAAAGTGGGCAATATTGCCCTGCTAGGGGCAATGGAAAGATTTTGGGGGGCGGTAGGGAAGAAAAGTGCGATAGGGGGGCGGCAGTCTGAAGTTAAAGTCAGGAGTTCACAAGTTTCAATGTTTGTTTGACGATTTGTACACAACACGTGCAGCACATCATGACTCCCAGCAATGGTTTTTTCACCCAGATTTGTTTTTTTAACTTCACCTGGTTTTACGTCACGGACAAATTTACGGTTGGACTTGCAGCCCGTCTCACGTCCAATTACTAAATTCAACGATCATGGAATATCTCTCAAACTAATGAACTTGGTACATGTATTCTCTCAACTCGATGAAACTTGGTACATGTATTCATTAAGACCTAATGGTGATGTTTAGCTCTTGTAAATTTTTTGAATTTTGCCTTCATTTGTTTTTGTCATTGTTAAATGGCAATACGGGCCAAAATTCAAAGTGATGAAGGAATTCCTTTCAAACTACTGAACATATTTGAACAAAATTTTGAATTTACAATCCTAACTACCCATCAGTAATGTTTAGCTGATGAAAATTTTTTCGATTGGGCCTTCATTTTCGAGTTTTTTCACCTTCATTTGTGATTTAAACAGCAATACTTGCTTAAATTCGCAGTACGCAAGAAATTTCTTCCAAATTACTGTACAGATTTAAGCAAAACTTAGTATTTAAATACCTAACCTCAGCAACGGTGATGTTTAGCTCGTTACAATTTTTTCAATTTTGCCTTCATTTTCAATTTTGCATTCGTATACAGCTATACGTAAACGGCTCTTGGTTAAAACGGCTGGTAGAAAAGCCGGTTGTTTCGAATGAAAGCAAAATAGAAAAATTGTGACAAGCTAACATAACAGTTAGGATGTTAGGTATTTATATACAAAGTTTCATTGAAATCTGTTTGGTCGGTAGGTTAGAAGAAATTTTTTGATCACCACAAATTTACGCGACAAATTACCCGGTGATATGGGCTGAATATAAGGAAGTGTGAAATCAAGAATGACAGTGAAATGAAAAAAAAAATCGCAATTGAAGGTAAATCAAAAAATGTTTTGAATCTAAAAAATCACCATTTGATAGTTAGGAATGTATATTCAAAATTTCGTTCAAATCTGTTCAGTAGTTTGGAAGAAATTCTTTGATCACTAGCTGCAAATTTCGGCCTGTATCGCGATATAACTCACGAATGAAGGTGAAATTAAAAAATTTTCACATGCTACACATCACCGTTAGGTTCTGATGAGTACATGTTCCAAGTTTCATTGAGCTGCGTTCATTAGCTTGAGAGATATTACTTGATAATGGAATTTGGAGATTGGTCATGAGACCGGCCATAAATTTGCCCAAGACATCCTAGGTTTCTAGTGCTGAAACAGGTAAAACAGCTGAAAAACATATTGGTTCACTAAATGGGGTTCTATTGGTGAAATACACAATTGTGTTTAACCTTTATTTTTTAAAATTGCAGCGTACAAAATTTCAAGAGAGAGGTGTATGTTTTTATATGTGTCTGTGGGGGGTGCTAGAAATTCACTAGGGAGCCAAAGGGGGCACCAGCCTGAAAAAGTTTAGGAACCACAGCAGTAGGCCTTCCAAACTATTTTATTTTATAAATGTGAGAATATATTACCTACGGTATCAAGAATTCCACACTGACCATGATATTGTACACAAGCATGAACATTTTTGTCTCATTTACAATTGTCAAATTTTCCTGTTTGGTTGTATGGCTTGTCAGCTCTGGTAAATTGTAATTTAATGCTATTTGTTTCAAAAAATTTTTTTTCCATTTTTAAAGATAATAATCATAATATATATTATTTTCAGATGCCATATTAAGTATTTTGTTTTCTGTTATTCTAAAATTAATTCTGTTATGTATTAGAAACTTGTAAAGTTTTATTTTTTCTGGTGAACTTTAAAGTTTCATCATTGCAAGAGACATGGCTGGACCGACTAAAACTGCCAGTGGGTCACGGTTGAACATAGCCGTTACATGGGAAAATTCTCCGGAACCATTTCTGTCACACATTGAACCAGAAACTTCTTGGGGAGATTACATGAAGGTATGTAAATTCACATTTCACCTTGAGTAAATGATAAACCTAATGATTAGTATGTGCTTGTGTCTGACAAAACTGCTTTCATCGACTTTTTGTTCTCATATGCTGCAATTTGTTGTTGATCTGTTGATTATACCTGTATTCTTGTTTCTTGATGATTCGAACTGATGATAAAGCCCTATGCCTGGAAGGTGTTGTGTGCATGCCAGAATTTTTTTTAATGTACTTGGATGTATGCCAGTATGCCAGGTATAAATGCCAATAGCCAGGGAATTGATTTTTTATGCCACACCAAGCACTCCAAAAATGAATGTACCACAATTACAGTACAACACTGAGTCTCTTGGATGAACCTGCACAGAGTCTCCGTACAACTCGATGACATCATCAATGATGCCATTAGTCACCAATGATGTCGTTAGTCACCAATGATGTCACTGGTCAACACCACATCCTAATGAATACAAACAGTGCTTTTCAAGTTTATTCCAGTTTCTAGTAGTTTTGAAGCAATGTGAACTCAATTTTCATGTTTATACCATTTTATATTAGTTTTTTGACATGTTTGGAGCAGATTTTTGTGTTTTTAGTGTCTGCCAGTGCATACAAAAAGCACATATTTAGGTCTGTATAGCTCCTTGCTTGCCTGGGTGTACCAGGGTGCCAAGGCTTACACCAGTGATAGGTACTGTAAAATGGGGTAACTTTGACCACTTTTTTTTTCAAAATGATGCCATTTTTTACTAGATAAGTTAAACTTAAATTGAAACATGCAAAATACAGGTCTATACTCAAGCTTTACTCACCATAAATTGCTGGCTCCTGCCTCTCATAGTTTTGATGTAATTTCAAAAAAAGTGATGGTCTTTGTTGAGGTTTCTTTGACCGGGTGGTAAAATCAATTTTATTTTTTGGTAAAATAACTTCAAATAACTCCAGGTTTTGGTGCATTGTAGTAGAACTGTTCTAGTTACATATGCAAATGACAAATTTGTGGGAAGTGTCATAGTTTGCAAATTGGGGTGCCTCCCCCAATCCATGACGGGGTAACATTGACCGGCTTGGAAATTAAGTTAAAATTACCATATATGACTCTGTAGAGTCTGAAACATGAAACAAAAAACATTAATAGGTGTATCAAACATAAAATATGTTATATAGGTACCTATGGTAATTTTAACTTAATTTCCAAGCCGGTCAATGTTACCCCGTCACGGCTGCCATTAGGTGGTCAAAGTTCCCCCATTGGGGGGCGGCGCCCCCCATTTGAAAACTATGACACTTTCCTAAAATTTGCATTTGCTCATTTGCATATGTAACTAAAAGAGTTCTACTACAATGCATCAAAACCTGGAGTTATTTTACCAAAAAATTAAAAAATTGGAGGAGGTTACTCTGACAGGCTTTAAATAATAGCTATTTTTGTGTGTCACACTATTAATTTTTTAACCTATTAGATATGCAAACTTTTTAAATCTTTCTATTCTGTTACCTAGCCTCAGTATTAGGCCTTTGATGGCCATTGACAAAATTTTTCTATGTCAATTAGTTTTTGTGTTTTGGGGGTTTTTGTTAAAAAAATGAAAAGTGGTCAAAGTTACCCCGCCGGTCAAAGTAACCCCATTTTACGGTACCACTACCAGTGTGTTGCCAGTTCTAGGTACCAGAGCCTCATGTACACATGAATAATCCATGGAAAACAGCACCATTCAGACTGTGGGATGAAGCTGATCTGTGTAACATTTTCAATTGTATCACAGTTTATTTATTTGAAAGTTTTTTCATTTATATTTTTGATTAATTTGTTACTTAAGTAAAATAAAGACTAATGTTTTCTATTACTATGTTGAGGCATCCTTAATTCAGTTAACATGTCACATCTGAGATAGTATATATATACATGCCATTATAATATTGTTCAGTAAAAAAAAATGAAGATATCTTTTGACCTATTGTATGTATTCTTTCATTTCAGACACTATTTGAGCACTTCAAGATTGGGAAGGAACACTGGGACAACTACATGCTGAAGTTTAATGGACCACCTCACTGTTTTGTTGGTGAACACAACTACAGGGATTTAAAAGTTAGTTTGAAACTTGGCTTGTATTTTGGATTTATCTTTATTATATCCTAAACTTTTTTAGCAATTGGCACCTTTATTTGTAATAGTTAAACTTTGCTATAATTTTCTATGAATTCTTTTACCTCAACTTGCAAATCACTACCTACCTATTGTTAGTTTGGTTTTTGTAGGTACATATTGAAAATTATGCTGAGAGTTTATTTATATGCTTATTGTGACTAAGACAAGGTATTGACAAATATTGTAGGTATGATGGCATTCCCTTAAAATTTTCAATAGAAATCAATTGATTGCTGAAAATTAAAATTTTCAATCCCTTTTATTCCTTGCTCTGAATCATGTAGAGAACATTATAATTGGGCTTTTGATTATTACTTTGGTTTCATCATACCAGGCTCAATTAAGGGGTATATGTTTCAGTAACCCTTGATATTACAGTCTATGCAAAAACTGTGCTTCTCTTGGGAGCTTGCTTGACATTAAGATCCTTTAATATCCAAGAAGTTTTTTTCTATTTGCTCTGTTAATAGGGTATCTTATAACATATCTTTTAACACGTTGACTACATATTGGTACATATGCGTGCCACGAAATGTATTTCTCCAGGAGGTAGTGGTGCATAATTCAGGTTGCCTAAAATCGGCCAAATCTGAGAACAAAAAAGGCCGATAATTCAATGTTTACTAGTTTATTTGTAGGTTCCGCTATAAAAATTCCATTATTTCCTTCTTGCAGTATTAAAATTTAACTAGGAAGTACCCCTATAATGAATTTTAGCCGGCCAACGCAATTGAGAAAAATTTAATCACGGAATTTGTCTGGAAAAAATGACCGTCTGGCAACCCTGCTTAAAAAAAAGTACAAAAAATGAAATGATAGTACTAGATGAAGCAATCATAGTCAACGTGTTAAGTGGTCATCTTGCACCTAGCATAGGAAATATTACAACAGAGTTCTCAAAGAATATATTTGTGTCCATCAGCATTGATATTTGGGACTTGTCTGTTTACAAAGTTACAAAGACATTTAGGCACCCAAGACTTCCCACTGTGAGGTTTTGTCCTTCTTTTAATTTCTTTGCAGTCTCATTTTAGAGACCTGTCTTTTTTATTTATTTAACAATTCAGGATGTTGTTCTACAATTTGATTACAATATAATGAAACTTTCTGGGAATTTTTAGTTATTATGATTGATTGATTATTAATACACATCAAAATTGATATGATTGCGGTTCCATATTTTTGGTTAGTAGGGGAATTGGATGAAGCTGAAATTCTTGCATTCCAGTGAAATTAATGAACAATTGATTACAGAAAATGTGTCATTAAATTCTTTCTCACTTTTCTACTGCTTGTTGATGCTTGTTGATCTACTACTGCTTGTTGATCTCCTACTGACTTGTTGATGGGTCAGTTGTTGTACTAAAATTCTTCTCGTGGCTGATACAGTTTACTGGTGGAACCGTTTAGATCAAGAGATGAACTCTGTGCCTCTTACTCAAGTCCAAGCATTTATATTGCCTATATTCTGAGGAGCGCTCACCTGTTTTTGCTCTCATCCATTCTGAATATTTCCAGTTGCCTGATAAATCTTGTTACATGACTTCATCTGTAACCCTAGTACAATGTTGTATGTACTACCACACGAGGATCAAAGTTCATTTCTGGTTCACACATGACCAACATGTGAGCTATTATTTCTGTACATAAATATTACATTTTTATTTGTATTTTCACATTGTGTGAAGTTATAACACAGTTCGGTTTGGTTCTGCAGGTAGTGGGCATTCTGCAAGTCCATGAATCTCCGAAGTTGCTATGTGAACAATTTGGGAAAATCTGCTCTACTCGAGGTGAAAACCCAAGAGAGGCTCTAATCAAGATGGCTTCCCTATCCCATGACTCATTTTTTGCTGAGTATTTTGTTGATAATCCGGTAAGATTTATTTGTAACTGAAGATTGCTTGAGTTCTTGAATAGATACTCCTCACAAAATTCTTACATAAAGCTGTTGTCACATCCAACATTTTTTAATGCCTTTTTATTCCTTACCTATTTATATTGCAACATTTTTCTTTTGCTACAGAACTTTCGCTACCTGGAGCAGATGTTGAGCAAGTGGGACACTGAAAATTCTAACCTGCCTGACATACTGCGAGCTTACCGCATCACACTCGAGAATTCCGGCAGAGGCTTTAGAAATTGTAGCGAAACTCTTGTATCTGATGTAAGTGCTTGTGCCTATCTTGGACTAGTGCTTAGCAGAGCTGAAGTGGTTTAGAAATTCATATTTTAATTGATAGATCATGATAGCTATTACTCATTTTACATTACGAGGTTGAACAGGGTTGGCGATTTTTTTTATTTTTTTAAAAAAATCAAAAAAATCAAAAATCAATGATTTTTTTTATTTTTTCATGATTTTTTTGATATATTTGATTTTTTTTTTTCAGCTTTTTTGTATTTTTGAGGTGTTATTTTTTATGTTGCAATTAGCCTACTAACAATAACAGTATATGGATCATAATGGATGGCTGAAAAGGGCACTTATTGCCTTCAATAATGGCCAACAGGCCAAGGTGGTGTTCACCACTTAGGGATTTTTGGGTGAACAATTATTGATAAGTCTATTCATTAGCTTTGTAAAGTTTGTATGGAGCAGGGTAATGAGCTAAATATTGACCATTTAACTGGCTTCAATATATAAAAACACTTCAGGAATGCAGATCTCCTAAACATTGAAGAGTCACATAACAGATAGGTAGCTGATAGCACAGTGCACAGCACTATCAATAGATCTACTAGTTTTATGTCCTATAAATCTACCAGACTCTACCCTCTATACACACCAACTAGTAGGGACTGAGTCACTGACTGCGCTGTTCCCATTTAATTCAGACCAATAAACCAATACTAAACATAAACTGAACGATAACCAAACAAACCTCATACGACTTGAAACGAGACTTAAGTTATGAGAAAAGCTAACACTGTTTGAAATAAACATGTGCACAATTCAAATATTTTATAGCCATTCACTGCATTTAATTATTTATATATAGTCTTATAATTGTAATTATTTGTTTCTAGTTTCAAATTCACATATTTAAAGATTGAAATTAAATATTTTAATTAGCATACTCGTATTAGGGTGGAAAATCTTTCTAATTGCCTAAAAGGTCAATACAATGTCAATCTCTCAATATACAGGGTAGAGCAGAACCAATTGAGCAATTTTGAGGTAAAATAATAGAGTAATGGAGGTACATAAAGAAGAAAGTTTATTTTCCTAGAGGTTGAGGATTGGGCAGTTTTGAGGTAAAATAAAAGAGTAATGGAGGTACATAAAGAAGAAAGTTTATTTTCCTAGAGGTTAGCATAACATACCATTTAGAATACTTATGTTTTGAAAACAATATCTGGAAGATGTGGGTCATTAGCTGCAACACACTGTTGGAGTCGTTCTCAGAGGAGGGAGTAACCGTAACAGTGAATTCTAATCGCTATGCTGCAAAATTTCTTACAGCCCATGATGGAAAACATTGTTGAAAATGAAGCATTGAGAAACTTGTTGTTACAGCAGGATGGGGCTACAGCTCACACAGCTCGAATGTCACTCAATGTTTTATATTGCATGATTCCTGTAGGTCTGGTGTCTCTGAGGGGTGATTTACACTGGCCTGCGAGGTCACCTGATTTGAGCATTTGCGATTTCTTTCTTTGGGGACATCTAAAAGGAAGGGGTTCAGAAGTCACCCTCACACCCTACCACAGCTAAGGGAACATTATTGCAGCAGAGGTTATGGCCATATGGCCCATACCTCGTCATATGTGTGAACGTGCTGTTGGAAACTTCCGAGAACAACTCCCAACAGTGTGATGCAGCTAACAAACCCCATCTTCCTGATATTGTTTTCAAAACATGAGTATTTTAAATGGTATGTTATGCTAATCATGAGGAAAATAAAATTTCTTCTTTATGTACCTCCATTACTCTTTTATTTTGCCCTAAAACTGTTCAATCAGTTCTGCTCCACCCTGTATAAGCTAGCTAACATATTTAAATTGTATATTGTAATCAATATATAACAAATAGTCAAATAGTTAGACTACTTATAGCCTTATAAGAATTAGCTAAGCTGCTAGCTACGTACAATTTATTGCACTCTTGATGCCTCTGTACCAAAAACATTCCATTTATTGGAACCTAATACACACTAAAGGCAACAAGTTTATATATATGAAAAAATCAAAAAAATCATGATTTTTTATAAAAAAATCAAGTGATTTAATCACATGATTTAATCATTTTGATTTAATCATTGCCAACCCTGAGGTTGAAGTTCTGTTTGTCAGGGACATCTCGAATCAAGTGTGGTTACATTGCACATCCTGATGTAGGTATGTTTATGAATACTTTCTGTTAGTTTCCATGTTGACTTCCATTTTTATTTTATTTTTTTTTTGCATATGGTAAAAGGAATTGACTGATGAGATTTTAATAGCTGCTAGGTACTTAATAAGATTCAACCTGTGAGTTGATTTTAAACAAATATTTTTTAGACCGATATTCTTACAACTTTTTAAGTTAAATATTTTACTTTCTCATTTAAAGTAGTCATATGAACATATATGGTAGCTTGTCTAAATGAGATCTTCAAAATGGACATTTTTAATGGTGTTTGCTGAAAGTTCAGTTTTTTCTTGTGCACTTGGTATTTTTTGAAAACAGGTTAAGCATTGCTTCAACTATGAGCATAAAGAATTGTTCTAATGTGTTATGTGTATGATAAGTTCTTTACATTCATGCTGATGGTGTGGCATTTATTTAATTGTTAGCAGCAAAAAATCAATTGAATTTTAGAACTTATCTGATGCACCATAACCGCTTTAATTTAGATAAAGAAAATATGCAGCCTCTAGGCTGTAGACCTCAAGGGAAATGTAAATAAGCTATACCTGTAATTTTGAACCCATATTATGGAAGGAATTGCATGAATGTCCACTTTATAAAGCTGGTTAATTGTAATGTATATTTTTTTCACCTGAAATATTTCAATGGATAAATTTAAAAAATTTGCTTCTCAAATTCTCCCTACTTTGCAGGTTATGCGGACCATTGACTCTCAGGTTGTCCACTCGGATAGCCTGCGGCTTGAGTGTCTGCTCATGGCTATTGCTTTGTTGAACTGCAAGCACAGCCACTTCTCTGACAACATCAATGTTGGTCTGCTTGTCCAACATCTGACCAGAGTAAGTGAATAGCATCTGACTAATTTGAGTCTGCAGCTTCTGACCAGAGTAAGTAAAGAGCATCAGACTAAGTTGGGTGTTCAGCTTCTGACTAGAATAAGTAAAGAGCATCTGACTATTTAACGTGAGTCTCAAACATCTGACCAGAGTAAGTAAATAGTATCTGACTAAAGTGAGTCTGCAGCTCCTGACCAGAGTAAGTAAATAGCTTTTGACTAGAGTGATCTTCAAACATCTGACCAGAATGAGTCTCCATAATCTGACCAGAGTAATCCACACTTGCATCAACTTCACATAAATCATTGTTCTTGGATTTGTTTATCTTGATGATATCATCCATTAACATTGTTCTTTTAAGTCTTCTCGACCGTAGTCCCAACTTTTGAGTGCTTCAAGAGAGATCCAAAAAATTTTCAAAGCATGATGAAAATTTTCCTATCTGCTGCCATCTCTAGTATCATGAACTTTTTTCACGAATTGTGTACATGGATTGCCACCATTTGCCTCTCGATTAAAAACGGATGAATGCAATTTGAGTTGTGTTGCATAACTATTTTATTTATCCTTCCAAAAAGCAGCTTTCACAGCTTACAAGTTGAATTTTAGTCACATCTTGGGCTTCGACTCGCCACTGCCACTAATGTGTTCTCACTAAATTTCTAATGATATGGGGCCATACTTTTCATACTTTCACCTAACTTTCTCAACGTATTGATTTATTGATACAATTGTTGTCTATTATATTTCCTTATAATTTTCCCCACCCTATTACTTGTATTCATCTCCCTTGAATCACACTCCTCAGAAAAGTTCATTGATAATCAGCATCCTGTACCCAAAATTTATCTTTAAGTTAATGATTGAGTTTGATCATCAGTTCATAAATTTGTGTCGGTTTTGATATTTTTCAACGTGTTTGTGTCGTCATAATTCATTCTAGTCACTTATTTACATCTCAATTATTGTGCAAAAATTCATCCTGTTTTTTTTTCTCATAACTTAATGAACCCGTTCTTATCTTTTAATTTTATGTAAAGCTTATGTATTCTTATGTGCATCAGAATGCAGAAATCAAGCGCGAGGCGCTGACGCTGCTGGTGCTGCTCTTCAAGGCGGCTGAGGGCACGGAGCGCGAGAAGAATATCTTCGCAAAATTGTCCGAGCGCGACAGCCGCAAGATCATCATGGATCACGTCGTCAGCAGGATTGACTACCGCTCAGTTGATGCATACGAGGTAAATACGGTACCAAAGATATAAGTTGATACTGTGGATTTTTGAAGAGTTAGTTGCCGGACGAGGTATGTTCTTTCAAGAGTCAGACGACGTAAACAAAGTCTCTGGTCACTGATTTAGAACATCATCACTCGCTTCCAATTTTGAAACTGGCAGGTTTAATCTCCATGCCTGGACCGGTAGTACTTTTACCGCTAGAAACAGTGTAAGTAAGGTGATAATGGCTGCTGTTTATTAGCTAATGTTAATTTTATAATCAGGAAATAGTTAACACGCCGCTCATGTGGGTTTCACAAGAAAGACGGACTCCTTATCGCTTATGTCGTAAATGAGTGCCCAACTCATGTTTATGTTGTGTAGAACTATTGATAGAGCTCGAGTGGTTCTTCTTATTCTCCGTTCTTTGTTAACTCAACAATGAAATGCTCACGGGAGTATACACAGGAAAATTTGTGCAAATTTATTTAGTGATTGAACTTCAATGAATTGCTCCATGTTATTGATTCAATGTACGTTCTTGTTGCTGTTTAGTCTCCTTCTAATATATCTTTAGATTTTTTATTGTGCTATTTGTTACCTAATTTAGTTTTTAATTAAAATAGTCAATGAATATTTCTTATTCCTTTATTGTATCGGTATTTTTAATAATAAAATCCAACTTTCAGAGTAAGAAAGCGTCGGAAAGTTCAGACAAGTCTGCTGAGAATGATAAGGAGAAGCAGCAGCGCTACGAGTACGACGTGTGCTGCCTGATGCAGCAGCTGCAGCACCTCATGCTGAACCTGCAGCGCCACAAGCTCCTGAGGGGCGTGCTGCTCGACGACACCGACGCGCCCAAGAAAGTCCGCGAGTTTTGTGATGTCGCCTTCGAGCCCGACAGCAAGGTGTGATCTTTAGGGTAACTAGTTGATATCAGGGGTGAGTTAGCGTGGAATCAAGTGACGAAGGCATAATGCATGGTGTCATTTATAGAGTAACTAGTTGATACTAGGGGTTAGTTAACGTGGAATCTTTTTGACGAAGGGTTAATGCATGGTGTGATCTTTAGGGTAACTTGTCGATTTTAGGGCTAAATTGATGGCGAATATATCTATAGACGAAAGGTTATTGCAAGGCGTGATGTGTATGGTAACTTATATAATTTAGAGATGAATTGATAGAGAATGTGAACAACGGTTCATGGATCCATAGAAGAATACCTATGTTCGTCGCCTGATGTTTACTGTCATCTCCTTGCCTTTATCTAAATATATCTATAATTCACATGATATAATGTGTCCATAGACCCATTACCGAAAGAAGCTTCCACTTCACTTGTACCTGATTGGTTGCGAATCAAGTGCATAGATGAATTAGGTGACGGTAGGGGCTTTCATTTGCATATGAAGTAACAATTTGATTTTTTTCAGATTCCTGTCGTGAACAGCGGCAGTTCAAGCCGAGACAAAAAAGACGAATTCAGGAAATTGGGATTTACAACTGAAAATCCTTTGAATGAATTCAACGAAGTACCGCCAGGCTGCCTCGCTCTTGACTGCATCCATTACTTCTGCAGCAAACGCAAGGACGAGTGAGTTCTGCTGTTATGTTCACTCAAAGACATGAGTGAGCTTTTTGTACAAGTAGCGATGCAGATTTTTTGTGTGTTATCCTCACCCAGTTTGGCCCGGTACAATGACGTATGTCACTCTTTGAACAATATAACCCTTTCATCATACGAGTGTTTTCTACTGATGATGCTGAGTTTTTGTCTCCTGGAATACCGTCTCATTGAAAGGTTTCGGTAAAAATGTTTTTACCAAACGTTTTGGTAAAAGTGTTACTTCCCAACGCATATGGATTGAACTCCGGCTCTGAAACTTGGCTGTTGGACCCTTCATGCAATGTGTAATCTATTATTTGTTGCAATGAAGTTAGGGGAACTAGAGGGTACAGAGGTTTGAGATATGCTCATCAAGAGGCCTCAGATAGGTAGAAAAGTAAGGTTAGATACAATTTAAAAGCTAGAAAATACCGAATAAATTTACCTAATTTACTTCAATAACGTTTTGCAGACCGGCTTCATTATCGGCTTGAAAATCTGTAGGATGCAAGTATTGTAAATATTGTTTGTGTGCAGGTTTGTGAAGCTGGTGCTGGAGAACTGTTACCGCGCAGACTCGCACGAGTGCCCTATTGGCCGCGCCTCCATTGAACTCACCAAGCTGCTCGCTGTCGTCTTCAAGGCGAGAAATAATTTATTTAACTAATTAGTAATTGCCAATTTATTTCTAACAATTTAATTGCAGAAATGATGCCAAGAAAATTAACCCTATTCTTAATTCATTGCATTTTAATCCATTGAATTTTTCAGTTAAATTTTTTTTTTATTCTTATGCTTTTTGTATTGAATTTCTTAGTAAATTTGTCATTTAGGCTTTCATATCATCTTTATGATTATTTACAGCTTATCCATGTTATATAAACTACCTTAGATCCTAAATTAATTATTATTTAATAATAAACGCATTGATTTTCATGCAGGTTGGTGAGCCCGTGGTTGAGGATTGTACGGACCTGCACCCCATTTTCTTCTCGCACGACTATCCTTTTGAGGAGATTTTCTGCATCTGCATCAACATCCTCGATAAAACTTGGAAGGAAATGAAAGCCACCGCCGAGGATTTTACGTATGAGATATTTTCTGTTTCAATTACGGTTTTTATTACAAATTATTTCAATAACAACTTTAATTGTTCCTTTGTTGGAAGAAATGACTGGCAATGCTGTTAACCTCATCCGAATAACTTGGAGACTGCACTGAAATAAGACCTTTTTTATGTGACTTGTGGCACCAAAATATAGAAAGCAGCAATTGAAATTATGTACAAACTTATATCTAATATAATCCTAATCCCATTTTTCTAATTTTCTCATTACAGTATATCTATTCATTTGTGGACATTCTAGTTGAAGTATTTTTAGGTAGCGTACTTGTGCGTTGGAATTCTGTTGCAAATAATGCGAATGGTGGAAAAATGTTCTGTCCATGAAATTAATATTTTCCGTAATTTAGTTTAGAGTTTGATGGTGAGTATCACTCCAGCAGGCTCTGAAAAGTTTTCTAATGCACCACTTTATTTCAGCAAAGTGATGAGTGTGGTGAAGGAGCAAATTGTACGTACACTTCAGCTCAAACCGCCCAACCTGGATAAATTCGAAGACGGCTTGAAGAAGCACACATACAAAGACATCATTGAACATTGGCAGAAGGAACGGGAGCTCACCGAAGAAGAGGAGATGAAGGCCCCACAAATTGTGTAAGGTGTTTCTTATTTTTGGTTCTAGTGAGCTTGAAGTATTTGAACCACCATTAATGGTTTCTTAATAACTTGTGTAGCTCATTGAATGTTATGTCTATGGTAAAGGCTCGGTAACTCGTTAAGATTGACGAAGATGCTTGCTATATGACGGGAATGAACTACGACTATTTTAGTTCAATGTCGTATCTGCTTCTATTTTGCTAAGAAAAACCCAAATTTATTAATGGGGTCCGCAATTACTAAATTGATTAGTTTAACGCCTTACTCGTTATTTAACATCATAACTCTTGATTTTCATCGCTACATCTAAAGTTCTCTGTATGAACTCTCATGTCTACTCTCAAGATATACTTTGTGGTGCTAATTGAATTATGTGGAAATTTTATTGGCCTGCACAGACCCACGTGTTAGATAAATTGATTATTATTGGGAGACTTTATTTCCATGGATCTATTTATCCTGCCTCTGTGCCAAGCGAACGAGTTGTAATGACATCAAATAGGCACATACCTATTCAAAACAACAAAATAAATAAGAACATTTTTGCTGTAATTGTTTCATCGAATGTAACTTTTGCTTACAGGCATTCAAAGAATTTTTATTCGCATTTAACTAGCATTTCTTTTCAACAGTGCTCTGCGGGAGGAGCTGAGGAAAGAAGTTAGTGAAGTGGTGCAGCAGCAGCGCCTGAAAATGATGGAGCGCGGCTGCCGTTTCCGCTGTCCGGCCAAGGGGCGCGGCAACAAGGACAAGCCTTGCTACCTCATCTTGTCCGTTAACCACAAGTTCCTGCACTACGGAGAAGTCGATGAGAAAGTCACCGAAATTCCTCCCCTCGATAAACTTCAGAAAATCAACGTTGCTGAGATCAAGTCTTTGACGCTTGGCAAGGATTGCGCTCACTTTAACCCGTCAGTTTTTGAACTATGACCTTGCTTATTGTGATGATTTTTAATATGACGTTAGAAAAAATTTAATTATATTCAATTTAGCAGCAAAATGACATCATCGCATCAAATGCTTACAATATAGCATGACATGACACTCTGGATTTTAAACTCGTGTGTTTTTTATGGTTTCAAGATGGCCATAATTCAAACGAATCTAAGTCAACTACATCCTTTGATACAGGATAAAAATCCATCTCTAAATACACTTTCAATTGTTAGAAATAAAATAATACCATTTATTATGGCCCAATGGTCATGCTGAACGTTCAAGAATTAAGATTTGATCATTTCACACAGACGACGCAAAGGTCACTATTACTTCAGCCTGGTCACGGACAGCAACAAACCAGATTCCCATAAAACCATCGACATTATCGCGACGGATGAAAAGACCTACAACTGCTGGATCGACGGCATCAAAATTGTCACGAGTGAGTGCTTTTAGTTACAAAAATACTCAATTTTACTCAGGTGTGCCAATCAGGTCGTGTGGCGTGCCATATGCTGCATCAATGAGTGTGGTCTCGTTCCTTCAAATTCGTTTACCGTCGCAATGAAGTTTCGAGCTGCCAATTTTTAAGTTCGAAGACACCTTCCAGCATGCCCAGCGTATCCGCTTCGGCCGTTGTTTCCTCTTAACCCTTATTTTCTCCTCTTGGGACCGAATCCCTGTGGAAGGGATTCTTCTGTCGTGTGCCTATGCTCGTGAGAAGTCCTGTGGGATTTCGCGTTCCTAGGGGCATAGTTATTGAGCACCTAACTTCAGAGCTCGCAGTATCTGAGTGCGGGTCTCGGTTTTAAGGATAAGCTGTCATGTAGGCAGTATTCCTTACATTTCTCTTCTCAGTCTGTCTCGTGCGGGCGGCCGACGTCCCGTGTATGCGACCTCTTGTTTGAGTGTCTTCGTTTTACCTGTACTTCCTTGTCGCCTCGTCTCTTTGAAATGCTAGCGCTGCCTCCTTCTCACCAGCTTCGGCGGCCTGGCCGCTTGAGACCTCCCGCCTCATGTGTGTGATGAATCGGACAACGACAAGAAATGTTCGAATTTGTTTGTAATATACGGTAAGTGAATATTCCTAAAAGATGTAGAAACCTATGTTCAAATCTATTGTTGTATTATTGCAGAGGGTAAGATGAACTCGCAGGCAGCTGAGGCCGACATCGAAATGCTGCTGGAGATGGAACTCAAACTGCAGCTGCTGGACCTTGACGGGGTAACCATCCCGACGTGTCCTCTTGTTGTCCCGCCCTTGCCTTCCAACTACAACTTCTGCTACAGCCTCTGATGTGGGGGCCGTGGTCCACTGCCATGCCGCCCTTGCCTTCCAATTACAACTTCTGCTACAGCTTCTGATGTGGGGGCCGTGGTCCACTGCCGTACCGCCCTTGCCTTCCAACTACAACTGCTGCTACAGCCTCTGATGTGGGGGTCGTGGTCCACTGCCGTACCGCCCTTGCCTTCCAACTACAACTGCTGCTACAGNTATTTGGGGTCTGTTTACCCCTAAAATGGGTTGGCTTGGTGATGTTCTGGATTAAAAATGAGTCTCGTACAGACTCCAAGAACAGGGATGCTGGGTGATTCTCATCTCTTGGAGAAGATTCATCTGCCCAGTCTATTTCTGGATGGTTAAAGTCACCAACGATCAACGTATGCATGGAACATCTCCCCAAGTAATGAACGTAGCTCGATAAAACTTGGTACACGCATTCATTAGGACTTAACGGTGATGTTTAGCTCGTGAACAATTTTAGAATTTCACCTTCATTCTTAAGTTATATGACGATACGTGCCGAAATTTGCAGTGAGCATGACATTTTTTCTAACTACTGTACATATTTGAACGAAACTTTGAATATGGAAACCTAACCTCCCAACGGCGATGCTTGGCTCGTGACAATTTTTTAGATTAGATAAAGCCGTATAACTCGCAAACGAAGGCAAAATCGAAAATAATTGTTACGTGCTAAACATCACCGTTAAGTCCTAATGAATACGTGTACCAAGTTTTATCGAGCTACGTTCATTACTTTGGGAGATATTCCATGCTCACCGAATTTGGGGAGACTGGCCGTAAATCTGTCCGAGACGTCTCCATGGCAAGATCATGCAAAACTGAGCAAACTACTCAGATAAGTCGACACCGTGTGGACGCTCTAAAAATTGCAACAATTTCATTCCGACTTAAAACTGCGCAGACAAATCGTTGTGAAAACTGAGCGTGTGGACCGGCCTTTTTAAGAAAGAATGACAATTTGGACAATATTTCTCATTCATTTTTGAGTGTGATCCTGAAGACCACTGCCTGAGTAAGCTGCAATCGTAGTTAAAGCTTTGATGAAAGTGAAGTTACATACCCTGTAATCTTGTAATGTTTTAGTGTATTTGACTGAACTTGGTAACACGTGTAGAGGTCGTGAAAAACTACGGCGTCGCACGGCGTTTTTACACCCACGATGAATAAATTATCCGTGATCTACGTCCGTCGAGTGGACGATGATGTAATCCAGGGACGTGTACTATAATAAATAGTACTAGTTCGCACCTCCGTCAGCCAATCACTCACGGATTTTCAAGATAATCCCACCGGTCACAGACAAGAAATTTGTTGCTACGTGTAAATGGGCGTGAATTGACAGTGCGACCCCAGTGGTGTTAGTTAGGAGAGAGGGTCCCCTGGCCCATGCCCTGCAAGCTGGTCTATGAAACGACTCCGATGCATCTCTAGTGGTGTGAACGACAGGAAACTGCTTCTAAATATTGACGTGCAGTGTTTTTAAATGTATTATATTTAAATATAATACATTTTAAATTTAAATATAATACATTTTAAATTTAAATATAATACATTTAAATGTATTATTTAAACGTCATACTGACGACAGTTGGACTTGTAGGCTGCTAAACGTGAATTACGTGGGAGCGCAGCCGTGGACCAAAAATTTAACTCTTAAACAAGCCCTAGCGCCAACGCCTACCCTCTTAATGCAATAACTATACTGGGCCTCACACCCAAGAAGCTGTAGGTAACTGAGTCGTCTCACCACACCAACTTTAACTCACAGTTGCCTCACTCCACAGCCTGCTGCATCAAATATTCAATTGTCAACGGGTCCTACTCGCTACTCCACAGAATTTAACCCCATACTATCACTTCTTACACCTGCCGTAAGCCTTGCTGTCCGTAGACCCCGCCCGATCGCCGTAAACCTCTGATGTAAAACTGATGGCCTTCAGCATGCATCCTAATTACGTAGCTTGCCAAGATTAGCAGTCGCTTTGGTTAGGTTAGGTAGTAGCAGGCAATGAAAATGTTTGGGTTGTCACCGTTCATCTTCTAAATAATTGTTTCCTCGAGGTCTTCTATCATCTGAAGTTTTCTCATATATTCCGCTCAAGTTAGGTAGTAAAAACTACTATAACGTAAATTTTTATTGATTTTCTCGGGGGATTTGCTGTTTTATTCCCGTTGACTCGTACTTTTCTTCATTTCAACTGCTTTTTATTCTCATCCTAGTCTAACTCTATCTAAACTCGTCATAATTTAAAAAACCTCTTCTCAAATTGTGTATGGAAACATTGCGTAGCTATGAGATCTCTCGCTACCGTTCATTCCTTATTTTTCATTTATGTCTGAGCTGCGTTTTTGCTTGCCAGGAGCGTCTCGATGAGAAGCTGCAGGCAAGCAGATTAAAATTAAATCATGTGTATACTAAATTTAAATTAAATTTAAAATGAAGATAGGAAAGTCATAAAATATATAGATCGAAGCTATTGAAATATAGCAAGAAGTAGATCCTTTCTAAACGCAGCAAACAAAAGTATCTCGCGCACCAGCACTAAATTCACTTTTAATAATCCCGAAAATTAGCAAGAATGCAAGGTTCTTAGTTGTTACTGAGATTATTTGGATAAAATGACCCATTCATTCACCTGGTACTGCTTCTCAGATCTCTGGAGAGCTTCGAGCTGCTCAGCAAAAAGTGCTGCTTGCACTTGCTTTCTCTCTGCCTCACGCCTCTGAGCCTGCCTCTTCCAGGCCTCCAGCCGCCTCACCTCGGCCTCTAAAGCCTCTACCGCCTCGTCCAGCTGCCTCACTTCAGCCTCCGCCTCGCTGGCGCCGCTTTCAGCCTCATCAGTGTAAAAGCAATTATTCATATATTACAAAGAATACCATACATGTGTATTATTTTAATATGATCGCTATTGCAGCTTAACACAAAAACATTCAGTATCAAAATCATATTGAAATTTGGCTCGTATAGATTATTTTGTTCTGCCTAATCATTATACAGGTTGAAAATATTAGTATAAGCGTGGTATGTAAAATATTTACGATCACCTACTGTTTATGATCAGGGTTGCCAGATGGCGGCAGGAGAAAACGGCCAAACTTGTTGACAAAAAAGGCCAAAACTGACCAAAATACCATATTTATTAGTGGTTTCGTTGTTCGAAGCGCAATAATTGAACATTTCTGTGTTTTTATACGGTAAGAAATAAATTTCAGACCAACTAAAATCTTTGCCAGTTAAACGCTGTTGAAAAAAATACTAAATCCTAAAATTTGGCCGAGAAAAGGACCACCTTGCAACCCTGTTTACAATTAAAGGGCCCAACTAGCAGCGTTTTAAACTAGCGTTTAAAGGCCAAACTAGCAACCCTGCAACTTGTAGCTATCTGCTAGGCTCCACGATTCTACTAGAAAATTTAAATATCATATTAATTTAATCATGTGAACAATATTATAAATATCTTCAAAGAGTCTGGCCTGACCTGCAGAGCTTTACACGCGCCAAAGTCTGACGCGCTCTCGAAGAGCGCCTGGAACGCAGTGAGCGTCATGAGCGCCTCATCCCGAACTCTGTAGGATTGTTCATATAAAAATCCCACGCCGGAAAAGAGTGATAGAAACAAAGATATTTTGTGTGTGTGTGTTAAAGAATCTCACGCCGGAAAAGAGTGATAGAAAAAAAGATATTTTGTGTGTATGTATTAAAGAATCTCACGACAAAAAGAGTGATAGAAACAAAGATATTTTGTGTGTGTGTGTTTAAGAATCTCACGACAAAAAAGAGTGATAGAAACAAAGATATTTTGTGTGTCTGTGTGTGTTAAAGAATCTCACGCCGGAAAAGTGTGATAGAAACAAAGATATTTTGTGTGTGTGTGTTAAAGAATCGCACGCCGGAAAAGAGTGATAGAAACAAAGCTATATTTTTATGTGTGTGTGAAATCTAAGTTGATGGTCTAAATAATATATATATGCTAGTATTTTAGTAGTATAGTAGGTATAGTATCTTCGGCATTGAAAAATAGGCCTGGATAGGCCTAGCTGTCGCCGATTCTTGTATTTTTCTTGCCTTATAGATTATACCTTTGATCAAATCTTTTCATTTCTTTTTTTTTCTTTTGATAGTAATCCGTGAATATATGAATGGAACTTAACTGCAGAGCGACTCTTACCAAACTCTGAAGTACATTTACTAGAAGAAATTCGTGGAATAATAGTGAAGTTAGAAACAATCATAGTTCGTTCAACTCAAAACTATGAAGACGAAATATATACTTTTTTGCGGGTTTATATTGATTAGTAAGTACATTCACAAATTTGACAGAACCAGAACGCCTTCTGTCGACCCCCCCCCCTTCATGAAAAACGCAGCAGCAGTGCAGGTATATTCACTAAAACAAGTTTGCAGCAGAAACTATGCTCATATAGGCAGACATTGATTGAAAATATGTTGAAGGTTTCTACACTATATCTATATGTGTGTTTGCAAGCGTTGATTGGGAATAAGCTTGTGAAACTGTTTTAGCGCATTTTCTCACTTATGGGAAAAAGGCTCTATTGTGCTCGTCATGTCCGTCCGTCCGTCCGTCTGTATGTCCGTGACTTCACGGACGGGCGGTTGGGGCGGACCAGAAAACGCGCTCTCTGTCACTCACTGCAGTGAGTACTGATCTAATTTTTTAAAGACGATCGGACGATATGTTCACTGCGGATGTAACTAAAACGCGGTGAACGACGACTGCACCCGAATAAATATTGTTTTTAAGTTCCATCCGAACTTTGAACAACTCTTACATCCACTTTGAACAACTCTTACATCACCTAGCCTACGGGTTTGTTAATCGTCGCCAATGCTATTAGTACGAAGAGGCCTGGTAACGAGATTTACCCCATTCGGCTAAAAGAAAGAGTCATATATGAATATTCAAGAACTTAAGCAAGGTCATCTCCTGATGCCGTAAAGCATTAAGTTTTTCTTACTTGTATCAACGAAATTGATACCGTTCCAATCATCCCAAAATATTTAATGCATTTAGATTATATTTCTACTCCTCACCGTGCCAGCATCAGTCCACGCTCAGCGCAGTCCATCGTAACCTGTCGTATGAGCTCGTCTGTTGGGCAAGGAGTTATATCATCACTCGGCGTGAAGTTGAACATTCGACACGAAGTTGAACATTCGACACGAAGTTGAACATTCAACATGAAGTTGAACATTCAACACGAAGTTGAACATTCAACATGAAGTTGAACATTCAACATGAAGTCTGTCTCTTATACACATCTAGATGTGTATAAGAGACAGGCCCTTGCACTTCTGCTACAGCCTCTGATGTGGGGGCCGTGGGCCACTGCCGTGCTGCCCTTGCCTTCCAACTACCACTTCTGCTACAGCCTCTGATCGAACGTCAAGTGCCATTGATTCTTGAATGCATGTTCTCAGCGTGATAAAATTTCTTTCTCGTAAGCTTTGAGTGTGAGTCTGAAATTTTAGCGACTTGTTTCAATTGAATTTTCTCAATGGTCGCTACTATGGATCTGAAGTCTTTCTAGACGTTTTTTAGAATAATTCAAGATGTGTTCACGTTTTTAAAGTTAAGTTTTTTTCTCTTATTTTAAGGAAAAATGGTTCTCGATGCTTACTCGTCCTGGATCGACCGAATTTATGCAATTTACGTTTTTAATCTCAATTTTAATCTCGGTGGAAAATGTTTCAAAGGCAAAAAAATTTATATCTTCACTTTTGTATATAATTTGTTTCCTTGACCTCGCCAGATTTCTGTCCATTGGGTGGAAATCCTGCCGTTTTTAAACGGCTTTTACAGGACTGTTTATTACTGTCATTTTAAATAAAAATTCCAGTCAATTAATTCAATGAAAGAAACTAGTGTATTGTTTCACCGGATATTGTCGACTTTCTGATCTGACGCGGTTGTGCCAATGAATATAAATTACGAATTAGATAAGTTTCTATCTAATGGAGCGATTGTAAATGAATTGTCTTTCTGTCTTATAACTACATTCCAGGTTTACTCATCAAGTACCTGAAACTATTCCTTTTTGTTAACAAATTGAGCGTTGAGTTTTTTGCTCCTTTTCGTTTTTTTATAATTGTAATGCTTCTATTCTGGATAAATTTGACGATATGTTCTTTACCGTTCAAATTTCCTGAATTCCGTCACCTATTATTTATGCTAAGAATTAAATTATGTATTGTTTCTGCGTTAAACTTGTTTGGATTGAGTATCGGTGACCAGGTTTATTACTGATTAATGTCTTCAACGCTCGAATTGGTAAGGTTAGATAGAATATTTTATGCTGGTTCAATTGGATGTACAATTCGATATCCTATAGTGTCCTCCGTTACCACCTGAATTGTAATTTGCCATTTCATTACAGGTATTTACAAAAAGTTCATCGTAGGAAATGCATATCTGAATGGAACTTTCTCAGAGGTATTTTTTAATTGCTAGCAATATTGAAGTTTATTCACGATCACTCAACGTGATGTGCACAACCTGTGCAGCCTACACAACTGCTTACTCTTAATGACAAACGTTGCACTTCTTATTATTTATGATAAATCGATTTTCAGTTTTCCGCTTCGAATGTTTGCGTGGGGAGCTTCGGTAACTCCTCCAATATTTTTTTTTTGCGTGGAATATTTAATTGTAGTGTGAGAATTGAATAATTTTTATTTATTTTCTGCTCTACTTCGACCGCCTGCTTTTTTAGCAAGGGACAAACTTCAGGAACGACTCGCCGTAACAAAACGCTTCTATACTCTGCTTATTTTAATTCTCAAAACGTACAATATTTATGTAGTCATTCGACAAACTCGTAAGAAATTCCAAAATGTGGAAGAAATTCCCTAAAAAGTGTTATTCCATTTAGCTTTGAGCTTTCTGGAATTTTGAATGCTGTGTATTGTACTCGTAGTATTTTTATTTCTAAGGTTAATTCCTGTTTTAATGTTGTGCTTCAGTGGGTGCTGGTAAACGGAAACATGGAAAGTATAAATACAATTCAATATTTTCGCCAATAATGATGTCAGCGTTCAAAAGGCCATTAGACTTGACGACGATTCTGAATATCTCAGAATTTTCTCAGCTTATTGCATTCTCGAACATGCAACTCATTGCTCCAATTTTGCTGTGCTTAACCACCCAGCCACCTCGCCGATTTTGATCAGAACTGCCGCAGGTAGCTGGAATCGAACCCGCAACTCACTGCTCCAATCTGTATACTTCGAACTATAACTACTGGGTCACCCTAATCCTTATTTTGGTGTGGTCACCCTAATCCAGGTGGGGCTTGAAAATCTTCACTTGCTTTAGGTGGGGCATTATTAAAAACTTCGAAAAGCCTTGGTACACGACATGCTTGTGTTTTGGTCATGAAGAGCTCATGTCCCGCCCGCTCTCTTGCAATATAACTAAAGTATCCGTAAATTTAAGCTCAAGTTCGTGGCCAGTATTGACCGTTACTACGGTCATTTAGATATCCTTAATATGTAGTGATAAGTCCATTCCTTCTAAAGTATTATGCTATATTTAATCACCTTTTCATTTTAAATTTTATTTTGTCATATCGATTTTGAATAGATATTACATGCGCTTTGGTAAGACAAATTATGTGAATCAAAATGACCACTGGTGTACTTCAGTGAGCTTCGGATTTTAATAAGTTCTATGCAAGAGAAAGTTGTTCTCATTCCTCCGCATTTCATTAATTTTTTAATTGCTGGAGGACGATTTTTTTTAAATTTAGGTTCATAATTGGCGGTCATCAAATTTGGGTTTATAATTGGCGTACATTTTTAACGGTTAATTTTCCTGTGGAAACTCAGTTTGGTGCGCTGTAAAAAACTAGTATAAAATTTTAATCTAAACTCTAAAGTATTCGGTTGTGACGCAGGTCTGCCAATACTGAAATAGAAAATTTATAATTAAATTTACTGTATTTCATTTATGAGATCCAGCTATTTATAATTTGAAGATATGTTAAAAACCATGCAGCTTTTGCCTCACCTACCCACTTCGGCTCTGAAAATGAGCGAACAATACTAGCCTGCCCGCTACTTGTGCTGCGAGTAAAGCCCGGTCCACACGCTCAGTTTTACACAGCGATTTGTCTGCGCAGTTCTAGTCTAGTCGTTGCAGTTAAAACGTTGCGTGTGGACGGGAAAACTGCGCAGTTTTGAAGCTGGCGGGAAAACTGCGCAGTTGCATCGCAATCTGAGCTACAGAGCATTGATTTCGATGAACTGCGCAGACAAGTCGGAACGTGTAGACGGTAGCACAGTTTTCCGATTCAATTTGTGCTCAGTTTCAATGATACAATGTCGGACCTTCGGTAATGTTCTCGGGAATTTATTGCTCTATGCGAAAGTTTTTCTTGCATTTGGCGAGTAAAATTCAATGACTATAGTAACAGGGACAAAAAAGGTGGAGACACACGTAGGCTTGGTAGAAAAATTCAAAGAAATCGATGAAAACGCAAACAGAGAAACAGCTGTAAAATAAGTTGAGGAGCATTAACCGTAAATAATTGGGAATAAATAAAAAAAAATCGATTTCATCTGGACCTGGCGAAGAAGACATCTACAAGCAATCACTCTTGTATTTTGATTACTCGCATTACCCAAATGATCCAATCTCTTTTTTAACAAGGCACAATGCCAAAATTGATCAAAATACTGCCTTTTCCATGCACGTCTCGGACAAATCTACGGCCGGTCTCCCCAAATTCGGTGAGCATAACATAACATAGTGATGTCGGCTCTGAAGTGTAGGCCTGATGTGGCCTGTCTCCGATTCTTTTCCATTTCGTGCCTTGTTCATAGATCTAAACTCGTGTCATTTGACCGAATATTTTCATGACTGGCGATAGTTTGAAGAAGCTACTAGACTTCCACCGGGTTCGATAAGGAGCTAGGCATTTCAAATCTGAACATATATTTTTCCATAGCTTTATCTAGTCTGTTCTTGAACGCGTTCATACTTGGAGCT